CTCCTCGGCCGCCCTCCTGCTGCCTCCCTCCCTCCCTCCCCCTTCCAGCTTCTTCTTCGTTGAGTGCTGCTTCTGCCCGACAGCTGGAGCATAACACAGCCGTTGCCTCGGAAGGAGAAGGCGATCCACGACAAGGAGGATGGTGAATGTGTACGGAACAAACGTTGCACGGCTGCAATGCAAGGTCCGGCCTGGTTTGTTGGCACTCTTGACATCTGTATTTGATGGTTCGTCGAGTATTAGTAGTAGTATTTATGCTTCGCTTGGTTCAGCTGCTTGATTGGTGTGTCGAGGATTGCATGATTGATGATTATTCTCTCCCTCGATTTTCTTGAGGGTTTGTTGTTGTCTGTCGTCTGCGTCTGCTTGTCAATTATCACGCGGGCAGAACCAGGGATCTTCGTCATTATCGAGGGATATTCTAGATGGTGAGCCCACTGGAATACAATGCGGGTGATAGACATGAGGACAACCGTCGCAACAAACGACATCTCCAAATTCTCGACACACCATACAGTTAAAGAGATTCCCATCTTGACCCAGAAACGTTGGGGCATGCTTTTTTGTGGTGGTTCCTTGTTGTTCACTACTACTACTGCGGCTTCCATTCACTGTCAAATGTACCCGCACTAGTGTTCCCTCCATATCCGCTACCAATACGTCAGAGCCAGAGCCAATATCACCGGTAGTAGTAGTACCAGAAACCATTTTAGGCGGGTGTCTGTTGTTTCTCGACCTCCGCCCTTCATGATCTCTTCGTATTGGCGTTGGCGTTCGAATAATATTAAGGGACTCCTCTGCTGATGTGGCTCGTCTTCGGGACCGCAGAGACTTTGGCGAGGCAGGACTTGCAGCATCTCGATCTCGTGAGGATCTTCGCAATGTTGGTGTTTGTTCGTTGTTGTTCCGCCGTTCGCTGGTTGTGCTGCGCCTCCTACTAGCACTAGCACCAACCGAAGACGATCTTGTGGATTTCATGGCCGCTACTGCGAAGTTTATTTGATGCAGCCAGGGAATTGGGGAGCTATTAGTATGGTATCTGTATCTGTGGTTGTTCAAAGCTGGCGTTACTAAAATATATATGCTTGGTGGTAATAGCTTGCCTTGCACAAAGTAAGTCCGGAACAAACGATTGAATGAAGCCTCTTCGATACTATGTTGTTGCTCTCTTCGCTGCTGAGGGAATGCGCCCAATTTCGCGCGAAGGCATAATATTTGGAGCTTCTGTCGGGACTGCTGAGAATTAAATTATTATTATTAATAAATGAACAGTCGTACAGTACGTACAACCCACCAAACACAATTGAGGGCTCTTTCTCAACAGCCTCCACTGGTTTATCAGAACGATCTTCCACGATCGTTCGAAAGTTTGGCATGAACAGCTCCAGACGCATGACTGACCATGCATTCGAATCATCTATTTATATAAGGGGGTTTTAGAGTAGGGAAAGAACAGACAGCCGAAGGCTGATGCCCTCAACTGTCAAAAAAGAGATTTGATTCTTTGGCCAAATCCAACACTGTGTTCAACTGAACACACAGTCTACTGTAGTCTATCGATAGCCAACCAAAACACACACATTGGTACTCGGAGTATGTTTTACCAGCTAACAATTAATATTTACCTCATCCTTTATGACGGATGTACAGACTAACTTGCACACATACTCTGGTACTCGGAGTATGTTTTACCTGCTAACAATTATTATTTACCCCATCCTTTATGGCGGACGTACATACTAACTTGCACACACACATAGTTTGGTTACTCGGAGTATATTTTACCACTAACAATTATTATTTACCCATCCTTTATGCGGACGTAACACTAACCAGCACACACAACATGCCGAAAGTGAAAACCCCATGGTGGGCAAAAGACCCTCAGATCGTTGAGTGGCAACATTTGTCTACGTAAGCAGCCGAGGGGCCAGCTTATAAGCAAAGAACAGTCAAATTCAGGACTAGGTTCTTGGATCAGGGGCAAGAAATTGAGAGACCATTACGGGGGCAAAGGGTTTGGCTTTGCGGGATCCACGGAGACAATAAAGAGTTAGCTTTCACAAGGGACAATTGAGTAATACGGGTCGGCATGGAATGGAAGCATCATTTGATGAGAGGAGGAAACTTGAGTTTTGTGGAGGCAGTAGCTGAAGCAAGGCGTTGTAAGGGAATATTGGCTTGGGGGGCAAGTGCACATCCACTGAAACAACAAGGGGGGAAGTCGAACCGCGATTGGACCGCACAGTCGTTAATTGGAAATGTTTGTCGCGTCTTGTGGTTAACAACTTTGATGGATCTTGTGACGGAAGAGGCAACAGTCCAAATCAGTGACGCTACGTCAAAAAGCTTAGTACCCATCGTTCAAACAAGCCGGAAAGAAAGATCACCACGTAAGAGCTCGGGGGCTGGAGGGGGATTGAGAGGGGGGAGGAAGGGGAGTGTAGGTTA